CACGCGGCATGGAAGTGACAGCAAAATAGTAGAAACAAGTACTCTTGAGCATCCGCTCGCATGATGGTAGAGCTGTAGTAGATTTAGACGGTATCACAGTATATGAGCGAAAAACCATGTAAGAGCTATGCACCAACCCATTTCTCTTGCCGCTCACCCTAGGACAAGAATAGATTTCCAGGTTAAATGGCTGAGAAGTTGTCGCTGGTGTTTGAAAAATCTTATGAAGCACTTAGCACTGATCAGTGATCGATATGTATGAGCAATGGCCAAACTGGGGTGTAAATTTAATCCAAGATGTGTTACAAGTCAAGTTGTAGTGCCGGCGGAGAATGGAGAGACTTCGGATGGAATTCCTCTTCCAGCCATTTCTAAAACGTTCTATAGCTGTATGTCTTCGAAGCTAGATATCTAAACCGCTTTTGATAACTGTTTGAGCGCCTTCATTACGACGGAGAGCAAAGGACAGCTCCAAGTAGCTCCCTAGCGTTGTAGGCGTCGGACGCCATCTTTCTCGTTGAGCCGGTCATTTTAGTTAGGGCATGATGAACAATGGTCAAATCTGCAAATGATGCATGTCTTGAGTGCGAACGCTTGCATTCACTCCGGGAAATTGATGAAAGAAGGCGATCGCTTGATCGCTCGAGTCTGAATGTTGCGGATAGAGGATCTCGGGTACAGTTCCCCGGACTGACTGTGGGAGATTTATTAGAACTTCTCCAGACACACATCAACTTTTTCAGAGCTCAATACTCCATGACCTGAGTTTAAATATAGACTAATACTCCAAGATTAATATACCCTGCCCGATATTTTAAGGGTATCTCGTGCAACGACCATCTCGTGCTACATCCTTTTCAAGCTGACACTATGGTAATATCGTCCAGAATATAGTGTGCGTATGTACCGCTTGGAAGAGGTGAAGTATCTCATTCCTGGCAAGACGTGGTACTAGCTAGAGCTTTGAGCTCCTAGTATGCAAGCTTCTTTCCCCACCAAGGGTGCCTTTTCGCGAAGCTAAAGTGGTGCAATTATCTTATACTTCGCTGTTATTCGCTGTCTCTAGGTGGGAAGCCAGTGCCCGCTAGCCCAATAAAAAAGGTCAATTACTGGCACAGAAGAATAAAATACTAGGAGTGGCCTACTAGTACTACTCCGTACTAAATATGCACTTATGTAAAAAAAACAGGTTATGAGGTTGGGTCTGGAAGCTTGACGGATGGTACGCTGGACGTCATCGACTCCGTCCCATATCCTGAGCTTCCGAAACCACGCAACAAACGAAAAACTACGTCAGGGTACTCTCATCAGCTATATTATTGCCCTGTCATGGATTTAAATATCAATCCAGTGTTCATGTTGAGTTTATGCTGGGAGCACCCTTGGAGGATTGACTTCTCCAACACTCGAACTCGACACTAAGTAGCTTATAATATATGTTACTATTATTTAATCAAATTTCAAGACATTTCGAAGTCTAATAGCCTTGTCATATCTCAGAATGGCGCCCAGCAGCGAATCCGATGACAACATCAGCGCGTATGGAGCCACCCGCTCCACTGTCAAGGGGCAGCCCTTGGACGCAGATGAAGCCCGCAAAATGGACGCATACTTCCGAGCAAGTATGTATCTATGCTTGGGCATGCTCTATATGCGAGACAATGTCCTGCTTAAGGAGCCCCTAAAGGTGGAACACCTCAAAGCTCGGCTGCTCGGTCACTGGGGATCGGATGCCGGCCAGTCCTTTACCTGGATTCATATGAACCGCCTGATCAAAAAGTATGATTTGGATGTCCTCTTCGTTTCCGGTCCTGGCCATGGTGCCCCAGCTGTTCTCTCGAATTCATATCTGGAGGGAGTTTACTCCGAAGTGTATCCGGACAAGTCCGAAGACGAAAAGGGTATGCAGAGGTTCTTTAAGCAATTCTCATTTCCAGGAGGCATTGGTTCACATGCGACCCCGGAAACGCCGGGATCTATTCACGAGGGTGGTGAATTGGGATACTCGATTTCTCACGCCTTTGGAAGTGTCTTTGACCATCCCAACCTCATTACATTGACGATGGTCGGGGATGGAGAGTCAGAGACTGGTCCACTTGCGACTAGTTGGCATAGCACTAAATTCCTCAACCCATGCACCGACGGAGCCGTTCTCCCTGTCCTCCATCTCAACGGATACAAAATCAACAACCCGACCGTCCTTGCTCGCATCAGCCATGAAGAACTAAAAGCGCTGTTTGTGGGCTATGGATGGACGCCAAATTTTGTGGAAGGCAATGATAGAGAAAGCATGCATCAAGCAATGGCAGCTACACTGGAACACTGCGTTGTGGAGATCAAAAAAATTCAAAAGCAAGCAAGGGAGTCGAAGAAGCCATTCCGACCCCGCTGGCCGATGATTGTTCTCCGGAGTCCCAAAGGGTGGTCTGCTCCAAGGGAGATTGACGGAAAGCTGCTTGAGGGCTTTTGGCGCTCTCATCAAATCCCGATAACTGATGTCCTGACGAACCCTGCTCATCTGAAGCTTCTTGAGACGTGGATGAAGAGTTACAAGCCCGAGGAGCTTTTTGACAAAGATGGCAAGCTCATTGCCGAGCTGAAAGCGCTCGCGCCCTCAGGCAATGCTCGTATGAGTGCTAACCCTGTCGGCAACGGCGGTATACTTCGCAGGCCTCTTCAACTGCCAGATTTCCGGGACTATGCTCTCGAAGACATTGACCCCGGAGTTTCTGTACGAGGGAGCATGACAAATATGTCAAAGTATTTGAGGGATGTGGTCAAAGAAAATATGACCACTTTCCGTGTATTTGGTCCGGATGAAACAGAGTCAAACAAGCTTGCAGAGATTTATAAAGCCGGCAAGAAGGTTTGGATGGGTGACTACTTTGAAGAAGATAAGGATGGAGGAAACCTGGCCTACGAAGGTCGGGTAATGGAGATGCTCAGTGAACATACCTGCGAAGGCTGGCTGGAAGGGTATGTGCTTTCCGGTCGCCATGGTATACTAAACAGCTACGAGCCTTTCATCCACGTCATTGATTCCATGGTTAATCAGCACTGCAAATGGATTGAAAAGTGCTTAGAAGTGGAATGGCGTGCAAAGGTCGCGTCTCTCAATATCCTCCTGACCGCGACCGTCTGGAGGCAAGACCACAATGGCTTCACCCATCAGGACCCTGGTTTCCTGGATGTTGTTGCAAACAAGAGCCCGGAGGTGGTTCGAATTTATCTGCCACCCGACGGGAACACGCTTCTTTCAGTTATGAATCACTGTTTCAGCAGCGTCAACTACGTCAATGTGGTTGTTGCTGACAAGCAAGAACACATCCAATTTCTCAGTATGGATGAAGCCATTGAACACTGCACCAAAGGTCTTGGAATATGGGACTGGGCAAGTAATGATCAAGGCCAAGAGCCCGATGTTGTGATGGCTTCGTGTGGCGATGTACCCACCCATGAGGCTCTCGCCGCAACGGCGTTGTTGAACGAACATCTTCCCCAACTCAAGGTCCGATTCGTGAACGTAGTCGATTTATTCCGGCTCATCAACGAGAAAGACCACCCGCATGGCATGCCCGACCGAAAATGGAAGGCTGTTTTTACTGACAATAAGCCGATCATCTTCAACTTCCATTCGTACCCTTGGCTCATCCACCGTCTAACCTACAAGCGACCGGGGCAACATAACCTACATGTGAGAGGGTACAGAGAAAAGGGTAACATCGATACTCCGTTCGAACTAGCCGTTAGGAACCAGACCGACCGATACAGTCTTGCCATCGATGCTATTGACCGTGTAGGATCCCTCGGCAACACGGCGTCTCATGTCCGAGAAAAGTTGATCAATCAGCAACTAGCTGCTAAGCAAGAGGCATTCGACAATGGTTTAGATGCAGAATATATCCGAAACTGGAAATACCCTAAGAAGGCTTGAAAATGATGATGAAGACATTTATGAAAGGGTGGAAGCAAATATAAGGATATCACGGGTACTGAAATAATCAGAAGTGAGTGGCGGGAATAGTCAGTGATATTTTTGGACTCTGCTGGGATTATTGTTTTGATAAGCAGCGTACGCGTTCCTGAAGCAAGAATGAAACCATGTCGGATAACCTGCGTTCATGTGCGGTGTGAATTTAAGGGGCGGATGATCGTCAGTGGTTGCATATGTAGGATGTCGATGATCGTCTGCTATGCAGGAAACCCAACCACACAAATTCCAAATCCTGTTTCATATCAAAAGTTCGACAAGTGGGTTGCGGCGCTATACAGAATCTCAATGGTGAATAGTGTTCTGAAGATAGGAACAGTATAATATCATCGGATAATATGAATGGCAAAATTCAATTTACCCAGGGCTGATGATGCCGAAGGACCCGCCGGCTGATATCAAATTCGACTAAGCGATAGGGTTACTACCTATTTAGGCAATGCCCATGCAGTTTTGTTTGAAGTTACAAGTCAAGATCTATATTAACACCAGCCGTATCTGACCGCCCAGCTTCGTTGTCAAGCTCCATAATCTACCTGGGCCCAACGATGTGCTCGGACAAGTCTTCGGAATTCACAGTTGACGTGATCCACGCCATGATTTTGAATGGATCGCCCGACCCACCTACCCTCAAAGTCGGGCAAATGCTCTACGCGCAATCCCTCAGTAAGGGTGTAGTGGATCATGGTCGATGATCCACCGCGCCATGCAAAAATCTTCAAAATCTTATCTATTTGTGGATCCTCTGTACCTTTGCCACGACAACTTGTGGTGCTTTATCATATGCCCTGGATTCTGGTTTCCGATAATAACATATATAGACCATCGTCGCTCGGCTACGCTGGCGATACTTTGTAGATTGCCGTAAATTTCTTATACTGCACAAGGGAAAGCTGTTATTCCCAGTCCTTGGTAGTTAGTTCATTTATACCGAATATTACTTCGAAAAAATAACAAAAGGAAACCGAATCACTATTGGCATCCACCTCGCGGAGGTGTAGTTGTCAAGATGCAACCAGGGCAACATCAAGAACCTAACCCGACGCCGGTCGACGGCGTAAATGCCCCGACAGTTGCTACCATTCGCAATGACGGCTTTGATTCCGCTCCGCTGTCAACCAGGTCCTCGTTCTCGTTTAATAACAGAACGGCCTCAACTCCTGCCACGGGCGCGCAGACCCCGGATCCTCTGCTAGGACCTAAGCCTGTCAATAACGAGGACCTGCTGAAAAAGTTACCGACAACGATTACTCAGGCGGCTGAGAGTGGAGATGAATTTGAATTGGAAGAGAGAAGAGGTCGAGCAGCGGTGGTTGATGGGTTGCACAACCGGCGACCATCCGCCATCCGTGGCCGTGATATGGCAGATGAGTCGGCATCGCCACCCCCAAAGCCATCGCAAGGACGCCCTCCAGAAATACCAAGCTTTACAGCAGAGATCGTACTCGTCCTCGTCTGCTCGGCAGGTCTGATGCTCTTTTCATTCTTGCTTGGCAACATGTTGGTGGTGCAGTTGCAGCTGAAGAAGGCTCTGGGAATCGGAAATACCTCGCTCCCATGGCTCGTAGGGGCCTACGCTTGCTCTAATGGGGTGTCAGTTGTTGTATCAGGCTCTCTGTTGGATTTGACTCCACCTCGGCGTGCGATCGTGGGAGCATTTGCATGGCTTACTATTTGGAACGTGGTCGGTGCCTTTTCCCTTGATCCGTCTCGAGAAGTTTTGTTTTTCATCGTGAGAGCAATGCAAGGACTCGCTATTGGTGTTTTGGTTTCCGGCTCAATGAGTGTTCTTGGACGCCTCTATAGCCCTGGTATACGCAAGAACCGTGTTTTTGCTGCTATCAGCGCTACGGCACCGTTAGGATTCAGTTTGGGGGCCATTGAAGGTGGTCTTCTCCACGGAAACCTTCCCTGGATTTTCGGTGTGAATGCCATTCTCACTGGTTTGTGTGCTGTCGCTGCATTCTTTTCAATTCCTCCTCTTCGTCCCGTTGCCGATGTGGAAGGCGCAGAAGCACCCACTCTGCGTCAGTTCGATTATATAGGAGCCCTGTTTGCCATTGCAGGCTGCGTCTGTCTCCTATTCGGTTTAACCCAAGGGTCAGTCACTAAATGGTCGGTCTATACGTGCGTGTTAGTCGCACTCGGCATCGTTTTTCTTATTTGCCTGTTCGTCGCGGAACGATATGTGGCGCGGCCATTGATTCCCAGTCGTCTGTGGCGGACGAAAGGCTTTACTCCTCTTATGGTGGCCTACTTTTTAGGATTCGGTTCATTTTTCGGGGCATGGCAGTTCTATGCAATTCAGTTTTGGTTGAGAATTCAACATGCGACGCCTATTGCAGTGGCACTATACCACATCCCTAATGCGATTGTCGGCATCATCGCCACTTTCATCGTGAGTCGTATCCTGCATCTGGTTCCCGGCCATTATATCTATATTGTATCAATGTTTGCGTTCACCCTCGGACCGGCATTCTTCCTTCCGCAAACTCCAGATACGATTTACTGGGCCTTATCTTTTCCCGGCGTAGCTTGTGACGTTCGGACCGGATATGGCTTTCGCCGCTGCCTCCATATTCATCACGAGCAATGTTCCTCGGTCCTATCAAGGCAGTGCAGCCAGTCTATTAGTCACAAACCAGAACCTCTCCTCGGCGATTATCACAAGTATTGCTGATGCGATTGGAACTAAAGTCGATCCGAGTCCAGATGGGGATGTAGGCCTGATTGGACTTCGGGCCATTTGGTGGTTTGCGTTGGCATGCCAGTTACTAGCTGCACTGGTAACTGTGGTCTGGGTGAGAATTCCAAAGGAGGAGGAAAAGGAGCATGTCACTTGATATTTGTTACGGATCAGCTTCTCCTGTATTAAATTCTTGTTTTCTTTTCCTGCTTTTAGAGTATACGATATACCCCATGATATAGACCTTGACTTCCGACGGGTATGACAAGTTGCTTTTCATTCAATATTTGCTGCCTTACCTGAAATTTAGTAGTATATGCATAGATTTTCATTAGCGCGGTGCACAAAAAAGCAAATAAAAAATAACACCAAGCTAAGAGAAGATTCTTCATGCGCTAGGTAAAACCTCGGCCTTCTCAGACCAACCTCCAGCTGGCGGTTAATTTCCTGACCGCTAATCCACGAATTCACGTTTCCCCTCAGAAATACCCGAGTGGGTGAACTCAGCATTATGAATGACATATGGAGTACACAGTAAAGACGGAAAAATAGAGGCCAATATTTACAACGCGGGCATTATACCCACTGCGAATATTCCAGTACGCCGGACACTGATCGCGGTATGTTTTCCCTCCTCGGCATCCCGAGGTCGGAATTACCGCTTCTGCTTATCCCTATCAAACCCTAGCCTCCATGTGCTGGCTGTACATATTACTGCACCATATGTGAGAATTGTGCAGAGAATTATACACTAAAATATCTTTCCCTCGTGTACGGCAGGTAATGTGTTGCTATTACCGTAAACTTTGGCTGGCAAGACCTATCTGAAAAGGTTACCTTATTCTAATGTGAACACTGAAGCAGAACGAGGAACGCATCGCTAAAACCTTCAATATGAACTTTAAATAAATAGATAGCAGCTCTCTTTCTGAGGTAAATGAACCATTAGAGCATTTCTGTTTGTTCGGTTTGGCCGTCTTGTATTGCTGTTAATCTTATTGATCTTATCACGGTGAATCAAATAACAGGTGGCTACCACTCTAAAGCAGTAAACATAACCGCTTTAAATGAGAAAGACGGTAAAATCTCGGGATCGGACTAGTCGATTATCCGGACTTCAGATTGATCTTCATATTGTCTGGCGTGTAGTATGACATGGTTCTGGAATGTTCAGCTTGTCGCTACCGAAAAAGACATAACCATACCCCAGGGCAGGGACTCAATCGGCACGAGCTGGTGACTTGTAGTCGAGAGTATTTCCCAGGGTAAATACTATGTTACCACGTGTTGTTCATCTGTAATCTGCAATCCGAGTACTGGGCTTATTATGTTTACTTCCTGACTCCTTCCCTAGCCCTTGAAGGTGGTTTTTCTAACTCGGCTTCCAGTGGTGCGTTTTATACTATGCTCCATATATTTCCTTCTCTACGATCAGGGCTCTTCAAGAGCTTCTTCGGGTTGGGTATCCCATCTGATCTATGACCTCTACTAATTTTCAACTTCTGTTACTGACTTGCTTTCAAGATGCTAATCCCTTTTATTCTACTTATGCAAATAGTCATTTCATCTAGCTGACAATCCTCTGTTCATTATTGGACTACCCAGTACTTATCGGTATGTTGTGTAGATGTGGGCGGAGTGACTGTGCGTCGGGGTCTTACGTTTAGGGGTAGGAATGAAAAGAGAGGTCATAAATTGAACCTTATATACCAATTTCAAAAAGAATCACTTGAACATAAGCCAGAATGTTCTGTTTCCATTTCGTTTTCATTGAAGTGTTGATAGGCTTTGACAAGTACAAATATAAAAGACGTTTTTCGCTCTTCGACACGCTGCGAAGTCATCACGTTGCTTTCTTCGTTGGTGGCTCGGTACTCTGCTTCCTCATTCATCATTCTCCTACTTACTAGCAACTACAGCCAAGGCCATCATCAGACTATATCTCACCGTAGACTGCGTCATAAAATTTCTACTTGTATGCCATTAATAATGCTGCTTCTAGGAATCTATCTGGTCTATTTGTTTAATTTCAGGACGGCCAAAGTCTTCCTGACAGGGGTAAGGAAGAGGTGGTAGACCAAGAACAGCAGCATATTCTCAACGCTCTTTTGTGATAAAGTGTACCACTACCGCGTCTATTCCGGATTCTATGTCCTGCCATCATCGGTTACAAGCGGATCAAGTTAAGGCTAAGACAGACGATCATCAACAGTGAAGCGAGGTTACAATTCTACATAATAACCGCAGTACTGCCTAACCTCGGCTTATCGGTTGTTGCAGTACGGCCCAACAAGCCTGGTATACCATGTAGGGCTGGGGGCAAAGTGGGTTCCCCAAGTCCAAAATCCTACGGTCATACGTGGGACACACAAATGCTCTAGATGCCCATGTGCATGGCCTACAGCCTAGTTGAAGAGTCTAGACTACGGGTTGGAACGAAGCTTTGTACCCGCACGACAAGCTGCCAATCTCAAGAATATGTGCGAAACATCCCCCACACTAATTCCACTGCTAGTCAGCGTACTGACCATCTAGAATTGCTAGAAAATGACACGTCACCACCTCCGAAGCCTTGGCTTTATATATAGTATTTTGATGGCAGTCATTGGCGGGGCATACTTCACTCATCGACATATCCGACCCGCAAATCAAACCGCCAATCCGCTATATTCCGCTCGCATTCCGCTGTGAACCCGCTATGGCGGAAACTGCAGCGGAAGTGCGTAAAAGACTGACTCCTACTCTAATAAGAACAAAGTTAAGCTTCAAGGTTAAATAACATACGACTAGTGGCTACTATAATCTAGGTAGTTTTACTAGTTGTCGGTCTGTGCGCTGCTTGCTGCTGGACAGACTAATTCCTTCGGAAGTCCCGCTACTGGATGGCCCTGATTCCTGCCGATAGATACACAGTTTATTGACTCTATTAAAACTGACTCTTAAGTAGTGATGTATCAAGTACATTTTGTGATAGAAGCGTTCGGTGGAATGATATATCTTACTTGAGGGTTAGGCGGGTTCTCCAAGGATTCTAAATACTCGTAGTGACATCCATGAGTCCCGCATTAACCGAAACCGAGGTTGCTAGATGCGAGCGGGTGGAACTTTCGGGAATTACAAGAGTGAGGACTCAAATTGAGTTTTTCAGGTAGCAGGTAGAGAGCATTGAGGGGCTGAATCGAGCATCCAGGCTTATGAGAGCCCAGATGGTACAGGACCGTGCTCAAACTACCGACAATTAAGCTCTCGGGCAGATGGAACTGAGTATTGAGAACCAGCATGTAACTATTAGCGCTTCACCTGATAGTAGATTCCTGGAAGGCCGAGGAAAATCGCCACCATAAAATGTATTCTACTAAAAAAATGCGGTTCAATCCCGCTCTCCCTTTTGCCACTTGATCCAGATCTCCAACGTGTTGTAAGTGAAGACAAGATATGGGCGCTTTTGTAACAGCAAGCAATCTCCCATGCATTTGTGGGTGGGTGGATGTATCGGGCTTCTTTGGCTTCACAAAATGCAGCCTGTCGCTCCCTGTATTAAGAACGCATGGCGGGATCTCTGGCCCCTGCTGCAGCGTACCCTGAACGTGGGGAAGGTTCAACTATCAATAACTCTAATTCAGCTCTCACCCATTTAAATCCTTCGAGTACAGCTCAAAATTGAGCTATCCCCGCATTTCTCTCCGCGATACCCGCATAAAGCGGATCCGTGTTGACCAGATCGGCATGCAGGTCGGCATTGGCCATACAGGGATGTTAGATGATGATGTAGCTTAAACCAAGAAATATGGGGTAAGCTTATGGACAATCGAGGTATATATAGCTTTTCTGTAGGCCTAGAATTGCTTGAACTACAGCAATCCTCAAGATCAAGTCATCGCCCATATCACATCCTTAATCATGTCGAGTGGTGATATCAGTGAGAAGCATGACATCGACACTCTTCGGCCAATTCGAACAGCCGAGAGTGTATTCCTTCCTATCTCCCGCGATGTATTCGAAAAGCTATACCTGAGCCCCAAGCATCCCTCGGTAAAAGGTGACTTGCGTAAGCAAGTAGGCAACCCTACTCCAATATCACTTATCGGGTTTTTGGTAGCTGCCACCCCAAACGCCTTTATAACGATGGGCATCAGGGGGAGTGGCGAGAATGGCGCTGCAATCCTGTGAGTACATTACAGTCTGTCTTACCACCTCCATTTGGAGGCTCACAGCGGTGCAGGCCCGTGTTCATCTTCTTTGGTGGACTGATACAAATTTTGGGCGGCATTGGAGAATGGATTATCGGGAACACGTTTTCATGCGCCCTATTCTTTACCTACGGTGCGTATCGCAAGATTCTAGCTCTGCGGCTGCCCATAACTGACTTCATCAAGGCACGTTTTGGATCGTACAAGGGACCGGCCTCATGCCCCTATTTGCAACAGGGCTTCATTACTCACCAACCGGCAATGCACTGGAGGGAATGCAAACTCCATCATATCACGCTACTCTTGGTGTGTATCATCGCTCAACTTCTGTGGAAGCTGTAGCGTCACTAACCAGTTACACCAATAGGGTTTTACTACATCGCCTTAACGATTCTCACCTTTGTATACACAATATGTTCAATCCGAACTAACATCTGCCTTTTCACCGCGCTTTTCCTCCTGGTTATTACTTTTTCTTTATTCGCCGCCACCTACTTCCAGCTGGCGCTGGGAGAGATCGCTCTTGCTTCTCGACTTCAAATGGTACGTTTCATTCATTCCCTCCTCCCCCCCCCATCTTTCATGTTCTTGTTATCTAACATACTCGATATGCAGGCGGCAGGTGCATTCAGTCTCGCTCTGGTCATACCAATCTGGCATATCTTCATTGCGCAAATGTTGGAGGCAGTGGACTTTCCGATAGCCATACCTGTGGGTGATTTGAGTACTGTAATACTGGGAAGAAGTCAAAAGATGCAGATGCGGACGGAAGAGTAGCCCAGAATCTCTTCGGTGTGAAAATTCGGGGATATGAGTGATAAAACTGTGGGCGGGGCGCGTCGAGTTCACTAGTATGAGATTCCATTGAATATACTGAATTGTCGAGAAACTACAGCACTAGGGTGATACTCTCATCATCAAGTTTGTTCTTTTACGTCCTCTCACATAGGATTACATGTATTAGCCTCTGAGTAAATGCAATACGCCACAACACATGTGGCTGTAGCAATAAAGGGCACTGGAGTATTGCTAACGGCTACCCAGATGGCCGGGTTTCCATCTATATAAGATTCTCCCGATTATTCCTCAATTCGTAAGTGATCTGGATTAGCTTTGTGAACTCGACGGCTGTATTTATGGTTTACTGGTTGGCCGTGAAAAGGCGAGAGGGTTTTCCTCGATCCCCAGGCACGATGACGCGATTTGGAAGCTGACTTTGGGCTTTTGATGATTGAATGACGAGTTTCTCTACTTAAAGAGTTCACTGATGGAGCTAAAAAAAAATGTGGATGTGAGCAAAAAAGAAAACTAGGAATTTAAGGGTAAGCTGGCCTTTCAACATCACGTTAATTGTTCGGGGTTCTAGTCCAACGCATTCGCATGTAAGCCATCTGTTCTGTCGGAAAAGTAATCTATGTTTGAGTCTTACGGAAGCACACAAGAATATCACATGGCCGAATAAAGGCCTGTTATATACTTGCAAGTATACATTCAATTAATTTATGGACAAAATTAGAACAAAGGCCCAGTGGTTGGGTTCCAAGACGTAGAATATTAACATCCATACCTGCCTGTATTGAAAGAGTCCGTTAAGGAATGACAAGCATTTGCGGAAAGAGGAACGCTAATCTAAGGGTATATGTCAAAATAGCCCTTCATCTTCATGTCAACAGTATATTGCGGTGGCGAACACTACTGCCATAGACATTTAAGCACGAATGGCGAAAGGTCCAGCGGCATTGAAGAGAGTAGGCATCTGTGGGGCATCGTTCAAGCTGGTAGAGAGACGGAGATACCAAACGCTGTCGTCCGCAACGGTGCCGAGCTCCTCCTGAGATGGGATGGTGATCGTGACAGCACCATCCTGCTCGGGGATGTCGTGCTGCCTAATCGCAATTTCCTTGTCGAACTTGATAGTGTCAAGGTTTCTAACAGGGTTGTTGTAGAGGTAGAGGGAATAATCCGATCCTTTGTACTGGGTCAGAGTCTCGCAGTTCTGGGACTTGCGGTCGAACTTGATGTTGATCTCGGCGCCGGGAGCGACAGTGGAGTTGTCAGGGATGCCCTGGAAGACGTTGACACAGTTGTAGTCGCGCTTGCCCCAAGCTATACTTGATCTTAGTTATCCTGTTTGGGAAGTGAGACGGAATTATATCACTAACGTTGGTTCTTGTCGAACGCAGCGGCACTAACGGCCAAGAGGGCAGTAGAAATGGCAGCGGAGATCTTCATTTTTGGCAGCGAAACTGAGAGTCAATGGGCTTTCTCTTCGTGATGAGTATGAGGAAGTTGGTTAATCTGAGGAGGGAAGTGCCAGTGGATTTATACTTCTGGGGCCGCTTCCCCAAATTAAGGAAACAAAATCCGGGACAAGCCTCGCGTCGAGCTGGAGACTGCGCTCATGACATCAGGCGTTGGGGGCAAAGGGTTAATTGGCTATGTCTCAGGGGACTTATTGACGAGGAGACGATGTGGGTTTTTTCTGGACTTGGCACAGCAATTAACGGGCGATCATTACCCCGTGTGTCTGTCTCGGGCATTCCGGATCGAAATGTCTCACTCGTATAGGCCTGCCCAGGAGTCGAGTCCTCAATAATCGTTTCGCAGATGATGGTTAAAGCGATGCTGCTCAGCGTTACGAAGCAGTCTAAATATAGCATCTTCTTGATCGGTCATAGAAAACACATTCATAAGAGCCATGGATCGTGTGATTTCTGCAGCCGTCGTATTAGCGCCACCGGAGTCGGATAGCTGCAGAGATAATTTGTCTTGTTTTGGACAGTAACAACTTGAGTCAATTGTAAAAAAGCCCGTCCAATCATTCCTGACCAAGACTTAAGTACGGACTATCAGCATACCAGGATACACACCACTGGCCTTCGAGACACATACAAACTGGGAATCAGGACGTACTTGGGTTTGGACATGTGCATATAGCCACCACATTGCCACCTCGTGTTATAGCCTTGGCCTATTTGAGAGTGCCTATCGACTCCTGCCATTAAACAGGGGGTTTTCATGAAGATCAAGCCGAATATGGCCATTATGGCGGGCAAGTATAGCTGTGGCCAAATTACTTTGTCATATTGTTTCTCTAATGTTTTACTTTCATGCGCTGGCATACGTAGCTCAGCTCCACTTCTATGTTATGGGCTGGGCGAAGGAGCAGGAGCCAGCAATAACTGTGAAGCAACTGGTATTGCAACCAGCATCATTCTACTCGGATGCTCTGTGAAGTGATTGTGAACACATATAAAGTCCGAAACTGGGCTCATATAGTCATTACTCACTTCGATATTCAAATATAGTTATCCCTTGGTATGGATAGAAAGTGTCTTGTGCTGATCGAAAGCAAGCCTAACTGAGCTTGGCTCAATGTGACGTGTACCTAGCTTATAGTTTATAAATACAATGAGGCGCTAATTGATTAAGATTACCGTGGACGCATCAACTAGTTGCCCATTACAGGCTATATTTCTCTCTTTTGCATAAATGAATACGGACTAGTCAACTTGTGGACAGGGGTTGACTAACACTGTCCAATCGCAGGCTGTCGCATCTTATTGAAAAGCAAGGCTTATGCTGGTGCCCCATGTTAGTTATGAGGTATCCGGTAGACTTTCTCTCCACTAGTCCATGAATAATGTATACAGGGTATGGTTGGGTAAGCAAGACTTGAATTATTATATATAAACATAGGTCAGTCTGCTTTTCATTCCATCGGGTTGCACTACTTGCTTCACTCTTATACTAAGTCATAGACCAATAAAGGCAGATATACAACGTATTCACGATTCTTGGCAACAGAAGCTGTTGCCTGCATCCTTATTTACAATAAAATAACATGACTATATGCAATTCCATGGCTGGCTTGGGAACTTGATCTCAAGAACTAAGTACCATATAGCAACACATATTATCTGGTGACCCCTAACAAATCCGATTTCGAATCCATCACTGCTGGTGTTGATTTATAATGCCTTCCACAAGGACAACTCCTCAACTCACAGATTTTATGTGGAGGATAGCGGCTTCTTCTGCAGGATCTGGGTAAAGGCCTGGTAGGCGGTTTCCGGTTCTGCACCAATTAGCAATTTATGCCGGGTCATGGAAAAAGTAAACGCTATGCACTTACGGTAGTAGGGAACTTCGTGCCCAGCATCGGCTACTGTCAGGAGATGGAAATTGTCGACAGACTTGAACTGTCCAGTTTCCTTTCCGTTGACCTTATAGGCCTCAAGGGCCTTGCCCTGAAATTCGTCGTGTCCTGGGAAATCAACTGCATTCGCCACAGCGATGCTTCCATCGACATTACATATATAGTCTGCTGTGCCTGCCCAGACAAGAACGTTGACTCCTGCCTTGATGACCGCAGACAAGTCTGGGAGGGTTGAACGGTATTCTACTCAAGTTAGATCCTGGAGCCAGAAGTGATAATCGAGATACTGACCGTCTCCGGTACCACGGAATTTCTGGCCGGGCGCATTCGCGCATTCCTGGTAATCCGATCTCGCACCGATTGCCTTCACTACTTCGGGCTTTGTGATATACTTGGAGTATGTCGATGGCGGATTGGGATCGTTGGATGGCGCTCGTATATCATAGACATCAAAGTCAACACCCGCTTGCATGATTGGATTTTCAACTGTCTCTCCGCACACTGAGCCGGCGTTCTGGCAGTCCTCATTTGTTTGAGTTTGTTGGCACTTCTGAACAGCTGGAAGGCATTGAGACTCGTAATCCCCCAGAAGCTTGTCTTTCAACGACTCATCAATGAGTTGTCTGTAAGTATTGTTGTATGCAAACGTGATGTAAGCCTTCTCTTGGAGCGCTGAGTCGAACATGCCATTATTTATTCCCAGAGCAACCAGGTTCACCTTTTCACCCTTCTGACTGCCTGCTTCAATAGCCTTGTTCTGGTTCAGGATATAGGAAGCGAAGCCGGGGCCATAGTGACCGCCATATGACTTGCTCAGTCAGCATTTTCCAGTGTCCACGCGCCACACATTAATTGAATTTCTCACCTCGGTGAAAATGCCAAAGTCGCGGCTTTCGTACTGTGGGAAATGCTCATAGAAGGCCTGGAGGAACTTCCAAACATATGGAGCAGCAGTCCACGTGCTATCAACAGGGTCATCTCCATACGAAAAGCCTACCCCAATCGGCTGGTCAATGTAGAGCATATTGGCAAAGTTGTTCCAGCTATGTTCGTTCAAAGACGGAGTCTCCTCGCCGTTGACGAAGTGGCAGGGTCCATTCTCCTGGAACAATCCGATCATGGAAGAGCAGCCGGGGCCGCCGTTGAACCAGGCAGAGAGAGGTGCCTGTTGCGGGTTGTTGCGACTCTCGAAGAACCTGATGACCCGTCAGATACCTCTACAATTGGTAGAAGGATGAGGCTCATACCAAAAGAACATATTCTGATTCTCTCCTACACTTAAGTAGCCACTGTACTGATTCACGCCTTTTGTGGTCTCACAAATACCAGAGTTGTTGACATATTCCAACCTGGCGCCAGTGGCAGCATGTTGAAAGACGTTGTAAGTGATTCCGTCTTTCCTGACGTGCGACGCTGTTGTGCCAATCTTAGCACCTTTCGGCAGCGCCTGGACGCTTCCTGCAAGTGCCAATGGCAGCAGCCACGCGGTGCTTGAGAACCACATTCTAGCGAGCAGAATAAGAGGGCCTGAGGAACCAAGAAACGAGGAGGTTGGTGGTTAGTTTCTCTCGTCACACTAGAAGGAGGATTTTAGACCTGGGATGGTCTGACTTTATATACATGGGAGGCGACTCAGATGCTTCAAGGCCTGCATGCGACAGAAGAGGGGAACGGGACATCACTATCAACTGACCGAAGCTCCGTCGAATGTTGCCTAATGGATGAAGATCAATCCTTGGCTTAAAGCTTCAATCCAGTTGGATAATAACGGTGCATGATTATGTTACATCGTGGCCTTTGAACAGCCAACATAAGCTACTTTTCTGCGATCCCCGGCGGCTTGTTCCTGGGGATATTTCCAAAAGGGGTAATGTTGCTGCCGATTCTGGTGGAGTACTTAGAAAGCCCTCATCCGAGTGGACAACCCATGTCCCCTGTAATTGATTTGGTCCCCTGTAGATCCCCAGTCAAGCCGTCGGGGGTCCGACCTTAATCGTTCCTCTTCAATGTGGGACCTTCTGCAATCCATCTGAGGTATGACGATATCGACAGTACGCGTGGATAAATCAGTTGATGTGTTGCTCGTTTATCTGCGGCATCACCGACAAGTATTGCTGGAAATTATTCTGAATGTGCTACTATTCGATAAATGGACGTATCTTCGCGGCTCACCCCCAGATTAAAACGCTCAGGTGGGGGAATGGTGCTGTTGGTCTTCGTCATGCGATGCTCGCAAGTTTCTGCACACGATTCTCGGACGTTCCTCGCAGTAGAGTAATCTGTACCTGGTACCATATCCCGGCTGTAGATTGATGTCACGAGATACCTTGTGAAAATGAACCCAACCTGGAGGAACATTTGGGTTATTATCCTTGAATTCGATTGTACGCAGTAAGAAACTGGGCCCACATGGCAATGTGCGGTGGCGTTGTTACTCAATAGGTCCATCTGCGTCAAGGAAGTTAATTTAATAGTAGTATAAGTCCTGACGATTCTACTGCATATTGACCACTCGAACAAAGGGCACAATTCGTGACTGTTTCGTTGAAAAACGTGCCACTGTCCAAGTCGAAACTGTCAGTCACCCGACCCTCTGTCTTCAGAATGGGGACTTTGCTTGAATGGATAATAAATAAAGCGGAACAGCATCCACTGAGCCAAGTGGTCGAGCGGTAACTCGATCAATCTCATCTTCCTTGGTCTAACGGTCATGATTTCCGCTTGTCATCCCAAAAGGAACAAGCGCGGGAGACCGGGGTTCGACTCCCCGAGGGAGAGATTTTTTTGTCTTTGTACCATGCATCTCTGCATATCGAAAGACTCGGATTCTTTTTGCCCCTCTTTTTAATTTTCAGGTGTTGCTATGCTACTGTGTGAAATTTTTCTAAGCAGTAAGTATCTAGTGGATGAGACGCTGAAGTCGAGAATATGCCGTGGGAACCCCGCAGAGGGGTTCCTGAGTATCTTCATGTTGAATATATAAAACGGCAATCATGACCTTCCGGGATGACTTTATAGTCCATCTTCAATCGAACACATTAAGATCAAGTCCTACAACCAGAATTCGACTGTTGTCTAGGCTCTCATCATGAAACACCGGAATATAATCCACGAATCTCGAGATGGATGCGACCGATATATGCAATGTCACAGACAGTACAATTTGACAACTAGTCTATCCGGAACACCGATTTGCATACTTTCGAGTTTCCACAATGCAAAGTGTAATGGAATATCTACTCGAGCATCTTAGATTCTTAGTGCCTTGACGCACAATAACATATTTTTATATCAGCCTTTGGGCTCCCAAGTTGAATGTGCACTGCATTGAGAGAAAGGCCTGGAGAAGGGTGCATCTTGCGAGTCATGTTAAATTATCCCAGCCCCATCAGCCGTGATACGTGTCAGCCTTGTCTGGTGTCCAAGTAGCCTGGGGGTGTATGGCTACTCCACGTGACCCACATGTTCACTTCCCTTCAGCATGAGCAACTCTTGCGACAAGCGTCGCTTTCATCTATACATTCAGATTCCTTGTATCAGGGGGTGCTCTATAGCATTTGAGAACTTGAGAACCCAAAATGGCGAAGAAGAAATCAGGGACCAATAAGCCTCCGTCGCACCTGAAAGCTGATATACGTCAAGCTGTTAGGGATATGTACACGAAGAGGGGCCAGGTCGACAACGAAGCAATCAAATCTAATTTCGTTGCCAAATACCCAGGCCAGAAGAGTCATATCACCCAAATCGTGGTCGAGTAAGTCGTGCTACTTCGTTCCTTAGTTGCTGCCGTTGACGCCAGACTTAGCTATGCTTTCGCTCTGCAGCACCCTAGTGGAAAGAAAATAGAGACACAGGCTGGGCCGTCAAAGACATACAGAAGTCAGAATAAGGGAGTAACTGATGTAAGGAAAGAACATTGCTCTCACTAGACCAGCTTGGTGAAAGAAATATGGTTCTAACAGATATCAGCCTGCAACATGTGACAGAAAAGCGAGCCCAGAGAAAGAAATACGCAACGGCATTGTGAGCAAAGATAAAGAGAAAGAGAAAGAGAAAGAGAAAGAGAAAGAGAATGCAATTTTACAAGGTCTGACAGTCATTATATCTTTCTTGTTGCTTCTAGCTATTTATAACAAGTCATGCAGACTTCCAGGACTACCTTTCGGTCAACAGTGGAAATGGAAGAGCTACATATTCCACTGCGTCGGCCGTGCCTTCTCTGGCAGAGCAGATATGCTTCCTGGAACCTAAGGATCAAGACGATGGCATTCTCATGGACCATGAGTATACTAATATTCAGAATGCAGTTTTGATATCTTCTACTGCGAGCGTTATGCCAGCTCAATTTGCTCTTATGGGTGGATTTAGGGCTCAACCATCAGTGTTGCCCCAGGATCCTAGAGTTATGCTAAACACAAACGTACCATTCTCGGCCTTTATATGCGGGGTCCAAGGCAGTGGGAAATCTCATACCACGAGCTGCATTATCGGTAACATCGACGTTTGGCGCGCATCTTTGCATAAGGCTAACCTCTATGTTAGAGAATTGCTCCATGTCATTGCCCATTTTAGGGGCTCTGAAGCAGCCACTATCCACCTTGGTGCTCAACTTTAATGAGTACACTTCGAATGTCAGCGCCCAGCCGTGCGAAGCTGCATTCCTCTCTTCGGTTTTGCCGGAATGGTCGAAACATGGACTCTCAATCCCGGTTAGAGTCCTGGTGTCTCCGTCGAATTTCTACAATCTCAAGAAAATATACTCCCAGATACCAAATGTTGAGGTTCAACCATTCAGACTCAAGCCACACCATTTGAACATCAGTGCAATGCTATCTCTCATGTCCATGGAAAATGGTAGCCAGATGCCCTTGTACATGAGCCAGGTAGTCAGAGTGCTCCGCGAAATGGCGATTGAAAACAGGGGAGGAAATTTCGATTATCTCGATTTCAGAAGACGTCTGGACAAGCTTAATCTAAACCGCATGCAAACACCCTTTTTGCATCAGAGATTGGATCTACTTGATTCCTATCTGGATCTCAAAGGGGAGCACAATGGTGATTACTTCACCGACGGTGGCATCACTATCTTGGATTTGTCTTGCCCATTCATGGATCAGGCTGCCACGTGTATCCTTTTCCGTATTGCTATTGATATCTTCCTGCATGCCCATCTCGCGGGGTAAGATGATCGTGGCAGACGAGGCTCACAAGGTAAGATATATCAAATTGGCTCAGTGTATATCAGTTAGAAGCCTTCAAGGCTATCTATGTTGATCCATCTAATACGAGGTTTTAGTACATGAGTGAAACACCAGCAGCCAAGGACTTGACCGAAACATTCCTTAACATTATTCGCCAGCAACGCCACCTAGGGGTTCGGACCATCATCTCCACACAGGAGCCAACCATCTCACCGCGGCTGATTGACCTTTGCTCTATGACAATTATCCATCGTTTTACAAGCCCTGAGTGGTACAGGACGATCAAGAAGCACGTACCTATTGGCGACCAAAGTAACATTCAGAGTTCCGAAGAATCTTTTGATGCGCTTCACGAGATCGCACGTTTGCAAACCGGGGAGGCTCTGATTTTTGCACCCTCTGCATACCTCCTGGATGAGAAAAGCTCTGCAATCAACGCCGCACACAAAGTTTTCAAAATGGCAGTTCGAAAGCGTATTACCTGGGATGGAGGAAGGACAATTTTGTGTGTTCGTTGATGTTTGATGCTTCCCGTTACAATACAAGACACAGGTGTCCTAGTAGTGGATTTGCGGATGATACATGTTGGAAGTATTAGATTGGGGACATCGCCATCTCAATTGTGCAGATACCTAGAGTGGGACTTACAGGTAGTATGAGGGGATGTTTCGGAATTAATCAATAGGAATGTAAATGGCAAGAAAGATATTGGTTTGGGAGTCCTAAGTGGAATGCTAAAAGACTATCCCATGTTCGTCACTTGACTTTTTTGCTAGTGAGACGACGATGCTAAAACAGTTCACTGGAATTTTCATCTCATCCAGACCCCGACGTACGCTCGTATCCCTTCACAGGTTAACCCCAGCAAATGCAAGGGGGCCACGCCACATACAATAGTGTAACGACGCAGCGCGTGGAAAGATTATAAAAGCTGGTTGCTTCCCCCAGAGTGCTAGGGCAGTTGAATTCTTCAAATATACTTTTATATTACCTACATATGATATAACTGACTATATAACACCTATTTACCCACTTACGACGATCACCAAGGATCTCGCCACAATGAGAACAACACTCCTCATGCTATCAGTACTCTTTGTCAGTACACAGGCTCTCCCAGAGTCTCCAGACTCTTGCGATTCTTGTCTTCAACGCGGAGCTCTTTGCGTGTCTATCGCAGGTTCTATAGGGACCTGCTGTCCAGGGCTGGAATGCGTTACAGACCCTCATGTGTCAGATACGGGGGTTCGTAATATCCCATCTACTTCCTTTGCGGCTACTGACATCTATTGAACCAACAGTATTGCCAATGATCTTAGGTTACTCCGGACATGTTTCAATATCAAGGCAAGAAACGAGTCCTTGGTCTCGATGGATTTGGCTCTAGTTGACTGAGATGGCAAAAGTTCAAGGTCTGGAGTGTGTATGTGGCTTAGAAGCCGAACCAGGCATGTCCTGGTTTGGGTGTCACTGGGTTTCAGGATACGAGTCTGCCAAAAAAAAGTAACCCCTTTCTATGATTCTATTCGTATTCGTGGTCCTGTGTATGTTACATTATGTATTTAGGAACATATCTTCACACCGAATTTGATCTTAATTTGGAATTGTCGAACCACGTCTGTCCGAACGCTGTGAAAAGATAGTAACGGTTTCTGACAGGCCTCTGGCGTAAAAGGCATCCCCAGTACCATAAGGTCAAAAATGCATTCGCTATCCGGTTGGACTAAAGCCTGAACAGCGCGAGCACTCAAAAAGTAGGAAAAGAAAGGATGATGGCATATCCACGACCATATTAAGCTGTGGCTTGGTCAGTATCTGTTCTTATGGCTGGATAGCATGTCAGAATTGAGATGCTGGTGAGGCTGTGTAACCAATACAGCCACGACATACGAGGTTACTGCTGATCTTCCCAGAATCGAGACGGTATTCTTGCTGTGACGTGTGGCATTGCGATCGACATCGCTGGGTTCCGTTTTCGGAAGTCAAGCGGAAATGTGACGCTTCAGGCGTCCAGCCAGCGGTGGGTAAGGCTTCTTTCTTCACGTTATAACGGTAGCTATGTTTAATACCCACATGGTGGTCTCACGGGTTAGAAGATCGCAAACATAACGAAGCTTGGGGCGATCGATGTGCCCATTTTCTGAGCCGTACGTTCGGCGAGAGAGATATTTGATAGGTAAGAATGCTCCGCCTGTTAAGGTTAGAAGCGCTAATCGGGCTAATACCCTGGAGCCGACAGGCGAGCAAATAAGCCAGCAGCCCTTGCGCATTGGCGTCCAACATCCCAATCACAAGATGGGATAGACCCAACCTCCGCATCCAACGCCGCTTGGCATATCCATGCTCGCCTTGATTGATCCAGAAGCCCAGGGATAAGGCTTCCCATGACCAGTGAACCCGGACTAGAGCTGAGCTCGGCCCTATGAATGTTTAATCTCGTCCCGCCTTCAATGGTGTTATTTTAGTTGATATACCGCAATCATCAAACCCGTGATCGCAAAGATTTATACACTGGCCGGTATCTCAGAGAGCCTGTGGAGATTTATGGCGCTTTTTCTATGTGCCCCACCGAAGAGATAAGGCCTTCTCTTCTTGGTCAGTTGCCCTGTCTAAATCAGTTGCCGTACTCTTTCGCGTGGTACACAGGTCTCGTCCACGGCTCCTGTCAATATGGGGAAGACACTAGGCCTCGTAAGGGCCTACTATACAGTCGCCCTAGCCTGTACTGGCTCGTTCCTCTTTGCTTATGACACTGGAATAATTGGAGGTGTCCTCACCCTAAAATCATTTCAGAACTCGTTTAGATACACCGAGAAGCAAAAGTCGACGATAAATTCCAATTCCAATAGTCTTTTGCAGGCTGGTGGTGAGTGCGCTCAAACTTCGATTATGTGAACCTCGACTGATGACCACAAGCCTTTTTCGCCTGCTTCTTCGTCTGGCCATTCACCGCCAAATATGGCCGCCGATGGTCTATCGCACTCGCCTCTCTCATATTTTGTATTGGAGCCATCATTCAAGTTATTCCTACTCACTCAGTAGCTGCATTCTATGTCGCACGGGTAGTGAGTGGTATCGGCGTCGGGATGGCGACTGTCATTGTCCCCATGTTTACTTCTGAGATGGCTCCTAAGTCCATCCGTGGAAGATTGGGAAGTTTCTTCCAAGGCTTCTTTGTCCTGGGGGTGTTCTTCTCATATTGGATCGACTATGCAGTAGAGAAACATATCCCTGAAACCAGTGACAGTCAGTGGCAGATTCCTATCGGGTTGCAGTTAGTGCCAGGTGGGATACTAGGATTTGGGATGCTATTTCTGAAGGAAAGTGTGCGTTGGCTGGCCAAGAAGGGACGGCACGATGAGGCTATGCGATCATTGGTGTGGATTAGAGGGGGGAGGAGACTGAAGAAGTCCGGGCAGAGTGAGTCATTATTCCAAGGCTACAAGACTGACACTAATTGTTTGCAGAATGGCGGAAATTTTAGACGGTATAGAAGCTGAGAACCTGGCGACAGAAGGCGTGACATGGAAGGAGATACTGCGAGTACCGGGGAACCTACATCGAATGTGCATTGCAGTCACAATTCAGATAGGTACGATCTTGGTTACCATGCTCACCCACGATTCACTGTGGATACTAACCACAAACAGGTGTTCAAATAACGGGAAATACTTCCCTGGCATACTGTTAGCACCCCTATATCTGCACAAGCTTGCAAGTTAGCTGATCACGTACAGATGCTCCTCAGATATTCAAGGCGGTCGGCGCTGGCGACAATAGTTTGTTTGTGAGCGGCTTCTTCGGGGTTGCGAAAGTAATCTCCTGCTGGTTCTTCCTTTTGTTTCTCGTCGAGCGCATTGGCCGACGGTGGTCGCTTATCATCGGTGCTTTTCTCATGGGCTTATTGATGCTGATTGTGGGGATCCTGGCGAAGGTATATCCCCCAGACCCAGACGCCACCAGCATTAGCTCCGCTGGCATTGCATCTATTCTCATGGTATACTTTGAGGCCATGTGCTATAACATGTCCTGGGGTCCGGTGCCATGGCTATATATGAGCGAGATCTTCCCTACTAGGATCCGTGAGGTCGGTATTGCGGTCGGTACTGCAACCCAATGGTTGTTCAATTTTGTGTTTTCCCAAGCTACACCTCACGCCCTGGATAGTATGGGTTGGGGCATGTTTTTGATGTTTTGCATCTTCAATTGGATCCTTGTGGCGTATGCCTGGTTGTTCATCAAAGAAACAACAGGCAAGTCCTTGGAGGAAATGGAAGAAGGTTAGCATCACCTTAGCATGGGACACTCGAACTACTTGCTGACGATTCTCTGCAGTATTTAACTCGAAGGCGGGGCTATATCACAAGGAAAGACCTCTAGATGAACAGGCCCAGGACAGACGGTGAGCAGGTTTTGGATGGAGAGCCTGGTATATGTGTCCCTGATTGTCTTCGCAAGAGGTAATATAGCTAGCGGCGATTGATATCACTTACATTAATGGAGTGTTCCCCACTCATGACATTAGTCAAAAGGGTACTTTTGTCCATAATGAATAAACTAAGTATTGGGCATGACGGAATCATACTGATTTTGTCTTGCACATGTGTGTCGGCCTGCCAAAAAGTGGCACTGTTCGAAGTTCGTCCGATCCCTGCCTATAAATCAATATATCGCGCCACAAAAGGAAAACCAAGAAGAGCAAACGTACCCGGATCAATATCAACCGTTCCCTATTACTGCTAGGCACCGCTGAACTAAACCCTTAGTACGTGGCCTCATATACTCCAGCATGTGTCATTGGACGTTACTGTCCCCATGATATCCATGGTCAACTCTACCACTACTAGCGGTTTTTCGAACCAGGATCGAGATTCTTTAATCATGTGGATTTCTATCCTGCTTTTCCCTTTCCATTCCTTCGCTTTGCTCCTAGTACTTTCCTCCTGAGCCCATTACCTGGTACACAAACCACCATGGCCAACCGCCATATTCCTCTGGAAGTCGATACCGACGAAGAAAACTTTATCACCATTGTGAGCGCCCTGCGAAACAAACTGATCTCCGTTATAACTTACCGATGAGTTCCACTTAGGATACGGATCCCAACCAATCAGAAGCTGGAGACCCTCAGTCGTGCGTCTAGCAAGGGAATGGCAAACACAGTAGTAAAGACAAATCTAATCCTATTAGTGAACTCACCTCGCTCCGCAGTAGCATCACCAACTACTACTACGAGAATGGCCGCCGCTATCATGCCTATCATGCAGGCGCTTATTGGTACAGCAAGTGAATGGCTTGTCGTTCTATCACTGAATGCTGACCTAGGTAGGGGTCCAAATGATGATCAAGCCCAAGAGACCATGCAAATCGGGTATGTCCTCTGAGCAGCCTGCACATGCCTGAGCTAATAATTAAAGACATGAGGTTTATCGTCTACTTCTAAACGGCAGATTATACCTAGCTCCTATCGCAGATGGCCCTCAAGTGAGCTGCTCCCACCTATGTACGTGGGTGAAAGAAAGGTGCTGATGAACAAGAATGTCCTGGACATCGGAACGGGAACAGGCCTATGGGCGATAGAATTCGGCGACATGCATCCTTCAGCCAAAGTCATTGGAACAGACTTATCGCCCATCCAGCCATCGTTTACCCCACCTAATGTGCAGTTCGAGGTAGATGACTGCTGTGACCAGTGGCTGTATAAGAACAATACTTTCGACTTCGTGCATGTGCGTGGTCTGTACGGCTGCGTGTCGGACTGGGATGAGTTCTACAAGAAGGCCTACAAGTACGATTCTCCGTCATTGATGTAGAATAAGTGTTAACGAGACCAGACACATTAAGCCGGGCGGATACATCGAGCAGCTCGAACAATCAGTCCAAGGCAAATCCGACGATGGAACTACGAATGGCACTATGTATAACGAATGGGCGCAGCACTTCCTCGACGCTGGAGATTCATTCGGGAAAACCTTTCGGATTGTCGATGAAGCCAAAGACCGAATGAAGAAGGCAGGATTTGCCGATGTCGTCGAGTGTCGATACAAGTGCCCCATTGGACAATGGCCAAAGGATCACCACCTAAAGCTTCTGGGGAAGTTGAACCGAGTCTATGCCGAGGAAGCCATTGAAGGGTATGCGATGATGTTGTTCACAAATGTTCTAGGGGTATGTGGGCCCCAAAATATTTGCGCAGCGTTGCCGGTATGCTAACTCAGCCAGTGGACACGCGACGAAGTAGAAGTGTATCTTGCTCGGATGCGAAATACTCTGAGAGACTCGTCAATCCATGCGTATCAAGAAATGTATGTGTATCTGGAACAATGAACATATGAGGATAAGACGAAACTGACAATCGCAGGGTCGTTGTATATGGACGGAAGCCCTTTGAAGGAGAATCTGTAGAAGCAGCCTGAGCTTCGGTTACAAATCTGTGGGTTTAGAACTTATACCTATATTGACCTATGCACAATTCGTTTATTCTCAGTTTGTGACTTCATGTGCGACTATGCGCACCCATAATTCTAGGAAGTAAATCGCAGCTAACTAACCCTAAAACCATGGAATCTGTGCTAGACTAGGCTCTACATGAGCCAAGACGACGACGATTAGCGATCATTTTTAATCCAAAAAGTGCCTGTTGATTACCTGCCTGTAAGACAATTGTACATATTCGGCCCCCAGAGTATCGACCTAGTAGTTGCACTTTGACATTTTATTTGATTGCTCTTCCATTTTACACCTTCGCACACCATTGTCAATTATCCAGATAGAGATGGTGCTTCCTGCCGCGCAGCCCCGCAGTCAAACCATAGCCTCAGCACCCAGCGAGGGCATCACAAAAAGAAAGAAACCGAAAGCCGCTTGCGATCGGTATCGGGGCCAAAAGCTGCGCTGTATATGGGATTTCCCTGAGCAATGTCGTCGGTGCGCCCGTGCAAAAGCCATCTGCACAGTCCCACGCCCAAAGCCTATCGGCCGTCCGCCCAGTGCACGCAATAGCAACCATATGGCTTATGAGACGCAAGAGAATATGATAGCGCAAGCACTGGGTATAACAAGTCCGTTAGATAGCAGTAGCTCAGGGACAGCATCCTGGAACATTTTGGATTCTGTACCATCCCTGACTACGCCACATAACATGTCGATTCCTTCACCGCAACCGGATCTTTTGAGCCTCTTGAATATGTAAGAATGCTATTCTGGTTATTGTAATTAAGTATGTTCACTGATAGTAGCCTTCCCGAATCGACTTTTGGGGCGTCTTTACGCCGAATTATGGCACGACCAGCTTTGATGCAGAGGCTCCTGGCATTGGGGTTTCTGTTGGTGATCAGCCTTTGGCGACATCTGATCATCCCGGACATGTACCAGTCAGCGCAGCACGAGTATCACAGGAGCCTCCGAGCGATACCACATCAGATAAGCAAGAAGAGCATCTCCAGTGTCTGAAAGAACTATGCGAGCTTAATATAGCATTATTCCAGCACCCGCTTGACGCAGCTCCTGTCCAGGATCAGAACACGGCACGTTCACAAGCGATGCATGACACGATGAGAATACCCAGTTTCTGCGTAGCCTAACTCCAAATATGCCAGCTACTCCCATTGACCACTAGAATAAGAAAGCTAGTAGCGGAAAATGGGGGAAATGGGAGGCAATTCTTCCAGGATAGATCTACAGCGCTCTTGGCTTTGAGCTGTTATACAAGACTTGAGCGCATCTATTCTCGCATGCTCGACGCGCTGCGTGAGTTGCAGTGTAGTGTCAGCATTTGTCTGATGCTGAGCCCATCATGCCTGATTTGTTGATTGATGAATTCTTACTTGGGACTTGTCGAGATGTTCAACTTCGGTTAGCAGTGCAGATATGCCAGCAAGCATTGGAAAGACTCTGGCAAAGTATTGGTATTAGCGGGGATATCCGACTGCGTCCATTGGAGAGAAGAAATTAGGGCTGCAAACGAAGGAAATTTGGCTATGCATTTATGTCAGTTTTATGAGATAGTTCACCTAGATTAAAAAGCATCCAAAAAGCCATAGCACCTATAAACCTCATCTTGGCTATCGAGGAACATCTCATGTGTCACTGTCGTCGCTCCCCAGTCCCATTCTACCGCCCATGAAATGTCTTATGCCATGTTTCCGGATGACCCGTCTCTGCTGGGTGTACTGGCCTTCCCTACCATCTGGGTCGACCGAGCCATCCATTAGACATGTCGCCTCCCGACTCGACCACGGACAAAACCATTTCCTGGAGTGCGGCCTGACTGCTAAAGGCGAATTGGCTGCCTCACTCGTACCAATGACCCATTCAACAATAGAAATAAACAGGTAGTAATTAGGAAAGGCGGTTAAGTAAGTGTATCGTGCGAACGTAGAAACTGGACCACAACATCCTGCCCTCGCCTTGCTGCCAATGATAGCAGTGTTTCACCGTCTATATCTTTAGCGTTCCGGTCAGCGCCCTTGTCAACCAGCAGCTTTACCACTGCCTCATGTCCGTGTTGCACAGCATAAAATAGCGGTGTTTGACCGAAGATACCCTTAGCCTCCAGGTCAGCGCCTCTGTCAATGAGTAGCTTTACCACTGCCTCATGTCCGTTTTTTGCAGCGTAGTCTAGCGATGTTTCACCGATATTACTTTTTAGCCTCCAGGTCAGCGTCTCTGTCAATCAGTAACTTTACCACTGCCTCATGTCCATTCCCTGCAGCCCATGATAGCGGTGTTCGACCGCTACGACTATGCTTGGCCTCCAGGTAAGCACCCCTGTCAACCAGCAGCTTCACCACTTCCTCATGTCCGTTTTCTGCAGCGTAAAATAGCGGTGTTTGACCGAAGATACCCTTAGCCTCCAGGTCAGCGCCTCTGTCAATGAGTAGCTTTACCACTGCCTCATGTCCGTTTTTTGCAGCGTAGACTAGCGATGTTTCACCGATATTATTCTTAGTCTCCAGGTCAGCGCCTCTGTCAATCAGTAGATTTATTACTGCCTCATTCCCGTTCTGTACAGCAAGAAATAGCGGTGCTCGACCACGATTATCCTTAGTCTCCAGGTAAACACCCTTATCAACCAGCAGCTTCACCACTACCTCATACCCGTTTTCTGCAGCCCATGATAGTGATGTCCGGTTCTTGTAATCCTCGAAGTCGAGCTGCCCAACATGACTGGACAGCATGCTCATGGCCACCTCATGCCCATTTTCTGACGCCCAGAGTACCAACGATGGAACGTCAATGTCTTGGGATTTTGGCTCTGCTCCCTTTTCGAGAAGCAGCTTCATTATCGCTTCATGTCGGCATTTCACAGCCCATGATAGAGGTGTTCGACCATCTATATCTTTAGATTCTAGGTCCGCCCCTTTCTCGAGCAGAAGCTCCACTACTCCATAGTGCCCATTTCGTGCAGCCTGTGAAAGAGCTGTCTGGCCGGGAGAACGGCCTTTTGCTTCAGTATTCGATTGGTGCTCCACAAGGAGTGATACAACCTCCCGATGCCCGTTGCTAGCAGCCAACCAGAGTGGTGTGCATAGAGACTTTGATACGGCATCTACTTTCACGCTGTTTGCGCTTAAAAGTAGTCTGCAGATTTCGATGTGTCCTCTATTAGCTGCATGATGTAAAGCAGTATATCCCTCTTCATCTGACACATTAACGTTGCAGAAATCCAGGAGAATCTCAACGATGCCTCCATATCCAAACTTTGATGCGACGTGAAGAGCAGGGAGTCTTTCCCCAACCAGCGGAAGATCACAAACACGTTGTAAGACAGGCCCTGCAGCTAGTGCAATTGACAGAAGACGCTCGTGCGGCTCCTTTACTGCCCATCCAAAGAGACCGTGTAGATGAGAGTCTTTTGAACGACCACCAGGAACCCAGGGGTGGAAATTCCAAGTTTCATTAAAACATGTAGCAAGCGCCTTGAATTTGTCCCAGACTACTGATGTATGGGGTATCCGTTTTGTATGCAAAGCCCAGTTTGTGACGGCGTAATCAAGAAATTTGTACCGTGTCCGATCTGGAGTTGACATTGTGCGTATCGTGCGGAATGATACTGAAATGCACTGATTCTTCTTCCGAAATAATGGGAGGAAGGGTTTGGTGAGCCCGAGGCGGAGGACTGGCCGCGCAAGTAAAGCCGGCTGTGGAATTTCGATTGCCGCTCTTTCTGCTGATTGTTTGCTTAGTTGAAGACTGAAATCTGAGAAGGAAAGATAGGTAACACAGAGTTCTCCACACTCTAAATCTCCCTGCTCTGTGTTTGGGTACTCTCGAATACGTTTGGCTTGAACTTCTCTTCCTTGATATTTGTCGAGATATTGTTTCACTGAATGATGCGCGAAGCGTACACAATTGTCAGTGGGATCTATGACAATAAGATTCGCACAGCAGCCAATCACTACATCTTTCTGCGGTATTTTCTCAGCGATCCACCCCGTATCTCCCAAGTCAAAGGAGACAGCTTCTCTCAGTTCGTCAATATGAAGCGATCTAGTTCCAAAGCTAACCCACTTGAGTACCTTTAGGGCATAGCTATCTTGTAGATTTATTCTGTCAATGCAACGGCCATATGTTTCTTCCAGGCCTTTGGGCAGAGTGGCTAAGGCTGATCGTATTCCTGCATCCGTGTAGCAAGTATCCCAGAGAATCTCTAGCTGGAGATGCACCCATAGAAACCTATATATGTCAACATATAATCCACCAAAATAAAACCTCATCAAGGAAGCTTGCTGTCATACATTCCTGACGACTTCGTTAAGAGCGTACGCTTGATGTCTTCCACCAAAACAGCATCATCAGTAAGTTTTCTGCACATGGTCTTATCAATAATGCTTGCTTCAATATAAGATTCGATGTCTTCCATAACATTGCCAGACGTCGAGATCTGGCGAATTCCAGGCATAAACGTGGCGATGTTTATGTATCCCGGAACTTGGTCCCTGCTGAGCAACAAGATCCGTGATCCTTGCGGGGGCCTAGAGAAACAGAACAGCGATTGGATTAATCCCAAAAGGGCTTTCCCATGATTTTGGCTCAGAACGTCAAGCCCATCAATTATATAAACAGCGTCCGGCACAGAATGGAAAAGCCGATTGAAGATATATTTCAGGTCTTCAAAATCTGGCTGGATCGGTTTAGGTCCGAAGAACTTCCTAATTTCAGTCTTAACATCTTCCGGATAAGGTCTGGACGTCGTGTGCAAAAAATCGCAAAGTTGTTTGATACAGCTAGAGAGAATATATGAGCCGTCCAGGGATCTATGATACTCATTCTCGCAGTAGAAGAAAACAGTGGGAGAGCGATTTTCAGAATAGCGGTATAATGCAGCCTCTACCACTGCGGTTCTGCTGGTTGTTAGGTGATGATATCGAAAGAAGATTCCACGTAGACTAACGCTATTATTGTTTTGCCTGAGCCAACTGACAAACAGTTACACATCAGTACTGCATTGAAGGTACGGCGAACGCGGGCTTACTCTTTCCTGAGCACCATAAAGTGGAAATACTCTTGTCAGTGAACCACGCTTGGAAATCCGGATGATCAAGAAACACTGCGTGGTGCCGACGAGACGTTTCTGAGAGAGTCTCCGATGAACCTTTCTATAATCATAACTTGAAATTTGCTCTAACAGTGTCTCATAATCTTGATCATCTACAATTCGTTAATACGCATTTCTAAAAGAACAGTTAATGCACTCACCATTTCTACGCACTGTCACACCTGTGGCATGTTCACCTCCGAATGGGAGCTTTCCGTTGTAATAAGATACTAAATGATCGTTTATTAGATGAAACATGACTATTTCTGTAACTTGAACACCCAACTTACAGTCTGAGCGCGGTGGCGGTGTGTCTGCAACCTGGCTTGTGTGGACCACAGAGAGGAGTTCTTTGGCATAGGCAGCCGCCGTTGCTGCTGCGTATTGTTGCCATTGTTTGTTTTTATGTGAGTCAGAATAGTCACAGATTCCTCGGATCACTAAGCACTGAAAGTCATCCATTAAGCCAGCCGCCTCCATTTCAAAGCAGAGGATGCCAATTTCCCGGGCCAGCTTATCTCTAGTGCGACCATGCTTCACCACTTGGTTCCCAGATGCAATAAGACCGTAATGAATGATTGGGTCGTATGTAAGCCGAGCAGGTCGTGTTACTAGCCTCGTATTGTCGCAATTGTCGCAAGTATTTTCGGAGCCACAGTGGTCATATTCCGAATCAAACAATAGATCCTGGTCTGCACCACGATATGTGAAACTCTTCCTCATCATGGGGTTCCTCGCTAGCATCTCAGAAAGGAGGGTTGGAATCTTGTTTGGCATTGATAGATGCGCTGCTTTTAGCCTGGAGACTGCTGTCAAGAGCACTGGTAGCGGCTTATTTAACACCCCAGTGCGTTCAAAGCGACCGCCGCTCACTGTCTTGCCATAATCATATTGTATGACCCCACCGAAGTCCCTTGTTGGGTTGCTTACCACCACATCACCCAGTCGAATGTCAACCTTCTCGCTTGGCGCTCCTCCTCCGATGCCCACCATTAGAAAGAACCGTATTGACTGAAAAGTGGATTGCATTTGTGTCGCCAGTGTTGCAGCTGATGTCGTACCGTAAACACCCGATCGAAGGCATGCAATGACAATATTATGATCATATATCCTACCTAGGATGTACGTGTTATCGTCCGTTGGTTTCGTTGGCAAGTTGGGGTGTTTCTCATCCAGCATCGCTTCCGCCGCAGCATTTCCAATGGGAGGGCACAGAGCCATGCGACCGTATAGTCCTGATGGCGAAAGTTTATTGTTGCAGTCGCCATTTGTATCTACGGCAGGAACTGTTGTTATTGCCTGCCACGGTAATGAAACCTATGATAATATAGCCTGCCTCACTGGCGTGGAGAGGTCACACCCACCATCAATGCGATTTTGGAGGATTGTCTGTGATCGGAACGGAAGAAGTCAGCCTTACCCCGTGATCTGTAATCCTCATGTCACGAATGACGAATAAGCCAATAAAAGTTAGCATAGAGGGGATAACTTGAATTCAATACGACTAATAAATACAAAAGACCAGCGCCTGCAGGCCAGCACCCACCAACAAGGTAAATACTCGCTCGTCCAGTCTCCCTGAAGTGTAGATGCCGAACACAACGAAGTTCACTTAAAAATAAGTACAACGCAATTGCGGCCGCATAATTCACTAAGCTTCATCCTTAAGACCTTCTACCACTTTCCTTTACCTCTTCCTCTTCTCAATTCTTTTAATTATATGTCATGGTGGTAACTTGGAACTTTTTGAATAGTCCAAGCTTTCGGGCCGCCAGCTTGTCCCACACTGGAGATATCGGGACCCACAGCATAAATAAACTACGATCTCAAACTGGGCTTACGCACCAAGTTATGTTCGTGGACATGTTTCGAAGCGTATCTTCTAATCACGAATAGAGTCAACAACGCGAAACTTAGGTCTCTCGAATGAGCTGTGTGCTTCCATGTCCTGGGATCAATCTTGCGGGATGCATATCAGCAGACGCGGGCTCATTCTTCCCCAATCTCAGTTAACTCGGGATACAGGAGCTGGCGCGTCGCCTTGGGTGGATGGTGGATCGTCACGTCTTGGTAGGGATTGTCCCACGGTTCCTTAGTAGTAGCTATGGCATCGGCCTGCAGCACCTCATCAGCCCGAAGAAACTGTGCCATGACAATGTCTTTCGGTCAATGTCTTCTGCTCGACTGCTTCTAGTGTCCCCATGACTTCAACGTCCTGTATATACTTATCTCGATACCTTATACTCTGCTGCTTTAACCATCTTCAATCTCCTGCAGAGTATGTATGTGGTGTACGCTTGTGGCCAAAGAAGTCGGTGGGGGCACACAATGGAGGGTTTTCCCCATGATTCAGGCCGAGAAACATAGTCGTCATTGAAAGGGCCATACGTCATTTCTTCAAGACAGCAAACGCCACCAAGGAGCCTATCATTTGAACGATATTGGGTTAGCTTGCATTACGGGCAAAATGTCTAACACAAGGGATAAAGCGGCTGCCGATAGCACAAGAATAATCACCTTATTGCTCCATCCAGTGGTACGTTATAGTTATACCTTACCTAGTTTCCCTGCAGAACCCCTAGTGCTACGTGTAATTATACATATGGTAATTTGTATAGTAAAGGTCTTTACCGACTGAATACCGGGCTGACGCTCGCGTAGTTGGATCACTTTTGGAACATACCCCCGTAAAATAGTTCTGTGCAACACTGTGCATTTAGCCCATTTACGTGGCGAGCTGAAAAAGATCGTCCATTTCCTTTCCGCCGCTCCCTCTTCTTGCCGTAGCTGCATCCACCTACTTGGGTCAATGTGGAAATCGAGTAAGAGCACAAGGCAACACGGAGCTAGTACAGTTTCATAGTTGTCGTGGACTCGCAGAGACGTCCTGAATCTCAGATTAAGGAACAGACTATTCTTAGTTACTGGGGTTCAGCTCGTAGACCCGGCGACTGATACATAATGAGAATGTTGAAATCGAGGTAGGATCGATATATTTTGGAGCTCTCTCAGAGCTGAAGAAAACCTTATTTTAAATACCGAGATCGCGGATCTGAAAAGAAAAGCCACATTTCCTTAACAAGTGTTACTAGATATCTCCCCAGACACCTCTGTTTAGAGCTCATTGTCCCTGAGGCTTTTTCTCTGGAAACTTCGTTTTGAATTTTAGTTAATTAAAAAGGATACCGAATGAAAAGCCTTGTTTATAAGAAAATAGAGTGCTTCTCTTCTTTCAAACCGAGTGAATATGAGTGTTTGACTCGGCTAATGGAAATGGTTTCCTCACAGAAGAAGCTACATAGTACAAATCACAACTGCAAGACGTGGGACCCACTTAGGCTTGAATAGTACCGTGTATTGTGGCCGATCTGTGCCTCCACTTTATTGTTTTGGAATACGCAGGAGGAGATACTTTCCCCCACAGCTCGGCATGAGTTTGGATTGGTGAACTGGATGGGTGGTGGTGAGCTAAAACCCAGCCGAGCTGAGCCGGTAGTTTGTAGATCCATTGAAAGTAGAGAAAGAATGAAATGACATGGAATACCATGGGGAGTGTACATACCTTATAAACTCACTCTTTCTGTAGTCTACAGGGCCCGGATATCTTCTCCATATCTTCTCCATTCACTACTATTTTGGAGTTTTCTCAGTTCCGTTCCGTTCATTACATTGCTTTGGTTATTGATGCTTGTCCGACAGCCTCTTTTCGCCCTTTTTGGGTGGGCTTGGCAACTGCCTCCCAAAATTGTCTGTTATCCAATGTTGCGGGTACGAAAGGCTACGATGCCTGTTGTACTGGTCGATCTAGCGGCACAGAGTCGATAAATGGTGTTGAATTTCAATACACTTGCCAGCAGTATTCTCTTCACTCCAATCGAAAGCAAGGGCAGGCATCCGTGGCTATGACTGCTGCAGATTGCGCTGGAAAATGTGCCGAGAACCCCGAATGCGTGGTTTCTACATGGTATGCAACTAAAAAACAATGCCTGGCGCTTTCAGACAGAGGATTCCGGACCTATGGCCCAGCGAAATACTGGGTCACGTTTGTGCGAACCGGAAAGACAACCGAGGAAAAGGGCGGCAATAAACAGTGCAGCAGTGAGAAGCTGGCCTTGGAGAAGGAGCTTCAAGAGAGATGCGAGAAAGAGAAGGTTATCTTAAGAAGCAAGTGCGATGAGGACCGAGCCAGCATCGACAAGAAACTCCAGGAGAGCAAGGAGGAATGGGAAAAAAAGATAACAGCCTTAAAAACCAGCTGTGACGCTGACAAGAGCGCCAAGGAGCAGTGTGAGCAGGACAAGGCTGAGCTCAATAAAAAACACAACGAAGAAAAGTACACAAAAGAGAAATTGGAGCAAGAAAAACAAGATATACTTAATAAGTATAAGGAAGAGAAAGCAGCCCTGGAAAAGGCAAATAATGATGCGAAAACCAAGCTGGAACAGGAGAACAACAAACTCAAAGAGGTCATCGCCACCAGTGGTGGTGGGCCAGCTAAGCCCGATTCCTTACCAGTAGGGATCAATCCTTACCTGCCTTGTCCCAATATTGATGGCAAAGAATACACCGTCGATGGCGTAACATACAGGGCCTTCTGTTGGAAAAAGCCACGGGGACGTTATATCAACACAGACGTTGATGGAGGAAAACTTAATATCCGTGACCTAGTTATCGGTATGAAGGCGTGCTCTCTGGATTCAGCGTGTCAGGGAGTATATTCCGACCATCAAAGTTACTGGACCATCCATCTAGACTACCAGTTCCCTCCCTTAGACGAAATCCCCCACCTTAATGGTGCTGAGCAGCATTTGAGCTTCATTCCAGTACAGCCTCGTGGGAACAATTTCAAGCCTAATGCGCTTGCTATCCCCAGTCTTCTAGCAGGAAATGTTTTTGGTGGTTGCCCCGAGTCAGATGGCCAGCAGCTAACTATTGGCTCACATACCTTTAACTTCCACTGCAGGGAGTACACTGGAGCTCCGGATGCACAACTACCGATCAGTTCTTATATCCGCTACCCGCCATGGTGTTTGGCAGTTTGTGCAGGAACCCCAGGTTGTGAGGGTACCAGTATGGGATACGGTTCGTGTAAGTTCTATTCTAGGTTTGAGAAGCTTGAGAAGATGGAGCAGTCAAAGATCGTTCCTCATCATTGGGTGGCTGTGCTATCGCAGGCGGGAAATGATTAGCGATATGGCAAAAGAGGATTTCATGCTCTGGATAGGACTATTACTACTGCATTTTATCCATATTGATGGCAGCGGGATCTTAAATAGGCCTAGCAAACACACCTTGTTAGATAATCTCGTTGCCTGAGCCTTGCAGATAGAACCAATCAACAGCTTCTTCCTCCATTAAGGCCTGTAACCTTGGAGATTGGCAAGCAATAGAGGTCATGCAAGTTCGACGTGAACAAAAGCTATAAAATTTGGTCTACCATATATGACTCACTGAATATGGCTTCCTCGACAAAGGCAAGTTGTTCGTTAGTAAAAGCCATAATCCCAGAGCAGGTTTCTCAGGTTTGGCAATAGGCTGCCAGCTCAAAGGGAAGCTCGAGTGCGATGACTTCGTTGTGATGACCAGGCCGCAAGGGCTGGCGGTAAATTGGAGGGAGAACCAATGTCTGACTTGATCACTGATCACTATAATGGGTTTTGTGCCATTGGCTTCTTGCAAAGATCTAGGTTGGAGATTCGATGTCCCGCATGTTCTACGGTCTTTCCTTCGCTCCTAACCGCTTTCCCCGCAGACATACCCTCGTTGGTTGGAGTGGTGTAAGGCACGCGGTCATGGCGTTAGACTATTCAGTGCGCTACGTAGTAGCGGGTTCTAGGGCCCGCGAGTTACCGCCCGCGGGTAATGTTGGTCATTTGGTAAAATTCCTTATACCGCCTAAACCCTAGATTAGGTGCCTTACAGGTGGTCGGCCCATGTATTCGCCTTGGAGTTGAAAGGCCGCGTGCTATTTTTGTTACCACGTCCCCCATTCGACACAAAACAATGTAGACGGTTTTATAGCAGGAAGACCCAGCTATTCGACTATCGACGCAGTGTCTGGTCTGATCTCCGCCGTGACAAATGTCAAATTAGACTTTGGTGATATTGGTATGTTTGATGCTATACCTTTTCTTGATGAGACTGAGACAGGCCAAGGTAATCAGGGTATTAACAATGAA